AAAAAGAATATAATTTTCGATGAATGGGAGAGTGAAACCTACTACGTGATCCGGTGCCGAAGAGTCCGCCTTTGTGAATCTGAAAGTTCAATTATTTGCAAAAAAAAATTGACAAAAATTGTTTTCACAAGAAAATCCCCGATCATACTCACATGTATGGCATCGCTGCCTGCAGGAACTTCTTGAATTCCAGACATTGATGGTGGGTCCTAGAACAGTCAAGAATAGGTAGAACTCGAAAGGGACATTAAATTATAAATTTATTTGTGCGGCTCATACCTTTGAATTTTCTTCATTTGTTAGATTTACTTGAAGCAGTAGTCCTTCAAACAAACCATCTTCGGCAATAGATGCATCGGGAGAATGGAAAACCGAAAAAATTATGTTGAGAAGATTACCGATTTTTTTTCTACCGAAAGCCACGCCCATGGCAAAGTTGCTCCAATGTGCCGCTTTTCGTCAGAAAATCGCTCATAAGTCCATTCCGGAAAAACAAGTCATCTGTCCAAATGGGCGTGGCTTACATTTTACCCCCTAACAAACCTCATCTGGTAAGGGGTCAGCGTTGAACATCGGTAGTCCAAGAGTCATCAGATCCGGCAAATTACCATCAGAAGCGCATGGTACGAGTCTCTTGGACGATTCCACCTAGAACTTCCCTTTAATTACAAAATATTGATTTATTGATTTTTTCACTAGCATACCCGTCTATCGTTGTCAAATAGCATATAGATAATATCGTGATGATCAACATAGATATTCTTCAGGCATGCTGTTATGCCAAGTTCGCGTGCTCCATTCGTTGCAGGAGCACCGCCAAACAATATGGATGCGAATTTCAGATCAATGGAGGAGTTCGCATACGAGAGCTTCTGAATAGTTCTGGTGACTAAAAAAATTGATCAAAAAATAAAATAAAATAATGAAAAATAATAGAGATGAAAATAAAAATCAAAGATGATGGAAAATGAAATAAATAGAATATACAATAAAAATTGACAGCAAATGAGTGTAACCTAAGTTACTGAGGAGGCGTGAACTGGTCCTCAAGCACCTCTTCATTAACTTACTCTGCCTTGAGGACCAGTTCTCGCAACCTGACCAACCTGAGTTTTTCCATCCACTGACAAGCCAATCATGCGCGATGAATGGTGTATACCAATAAATACTATATGGTACCTGTCAAAGAAAATCTTGATTATTTCAACAAAAACCAAAGCCTGCACGACTCACTCCACGCTGGTATCCAGAGTGAAATTTATATGGCCAAGGCTGCCAAATTGTAAATTTCCATTCTTTTCCACGACGTAAAGTTTTACTACTGAACCATCATCCAGTACTGAATGTAGAAGTACTCCTTGTTTATTGTCAGGTTCAGCAAACTGGAAATATTGTTTAGCTAAAACTTTCTTCTTTCTCAACATATGCTAACATATATTCGCACAAAAAATCATGTGAATCTTGACTATAAAAAAATCTATAATACATGGAGACGAATCGTATATTATAAACTAATAAGATGATGCAAGACTGCAAGCAAAAAAAATCATAAATATTTGCTATTTAGGAGTATGGGCAATAATATGAATTAAAAATTTATCTCCTTAATCTCTTGAATCAAATAAAATCGATATATCGTTGGCTCTCCTTGTCACAATCTCTATGCCCACCCTAAATTTTTTGCTTATTTTATACCTTATCGTAACTTCCTCGATTCTCCCTTGCCCTTTTCCTTTTACAACATCAATTTGGAGAAATTGAAAGTTATGCATGTGAATGTCACCGCAATTCTACCGTAATGATACGGCAGAGAAATCAATATTTCTACCTTAAAATCGATGGTAATCCTTGTGACCAACTGATCAACATTCCATGGTGTATACCGTATGTTACTCGGCTGGCTTTCGTCATCATTGTTGAGGATGAAGACGGATCGAGACGCTATATAAGCAATATTTGGAATAAGATTTCAATAACTTGATCAATTACATAATGCAAAATTATGATGTAATCTGATAGATCATAGACTTTAGCTTCTATAGATCAAAGAATGAGAGCAAAAAATAGCTGATTCTAAGAATTTTATATTAGAAAAACGGTAAATCTAAGATTTTGATAATCCAATTTTACTTACGGTATCGACAATTTGGACCAGATTTCTGCGTACCGTAGCAGTCACAAGTAGCCACCTCGAGTGATAAGCATTTACCCTACAAAATTGTCAAGAAGATACTTAAATCCATCATATACCCAATAAAATCGATATATCGATTAACACACCTTATTACAATCCCTATGTTCACACTGATCACCACTAGCACATTCATCGATCTCATTTGACGCGATGGGTATGACCTCGTACGGTGGAGTGACTCCGCCCACTTGTACAGTAACCAGCGTCACGCAACCAATCATAGAGAGGCCTAAATCCTACCAGTTATGCAGATAAGAATTATCGATTGGTTGATTGATTCTTCTGACCTCCACCGCCTAGGGTAACACTGATCTCTGCTCCTGTTATGTTGATATTTTCAGTGATTTCGCAGACAGCATCACTTGTGGATTCGAGCCGGTAAGACAGGGTATCCTCCTTAGTGTTTATGCGAACAGCCA